TACATAGCACGTCATATAGCTACTATTGTAGACTATCCTCAAAGCAAATAAAAAACACCTTATATGTAAGAATGGCAACCAGTTTGATTCCTTTTTGAACGTGCGGTAAGTTCCCTGACTGCGAATTTTACTGTCAGTTATCTCCTATGAAAAGTAAACAAAAAGAAGCAAATGAAAGAGTTGTCATCTCATTGAAACTTTAGTTGCATCTCATTTAGGAAGCATACCTCTATAAGAGCGTCATAGACGGTGAAGCTTCGTAGTTGCTCCTGCCTGGAAAATATCTTCTTAAATTTTCGCGAAACCATAGTGAATAATTCCATTTCATCAGCAAATGTGTTTACCTGGTGAACGTCCTGTTAAAATGAAACAAAACTCATTAAGTGTAATTGACACACATGCATGATTATCTGTTTAAAGTTTCCTTGCACAGACCTGCATGCACCAGGAACAGAGCTTGAACTTCTTACCTAGGCTATCTTATTCTTCGTTGCCCAGATCATGAAAAAAGTGGGCAAGCTTAGCAAATGCCTCGGCAAATGCTTATGAGTGTTTGCAATGTAACCCTCAGACGCACTGACCCAAGCTGAGTACACATAAATTGGGTTCGCTATAGTTCTAACTCTGCATCCATTTCTTATCAACTCTGCGCTCTTACCATCTCAATGGCATAACAACCAAGTAAAAACTCCAACATGGGCTTGAGTTGTTCAATTGACGTATGATGCAACGGTATTCCCAAATTGACTTCATCTGTCGCCAGTCCTCCGCCTGACGCTGCCGCAATAGCAGCTATGGACGGACTCTTGGTAGCCACCAGCTGGTACGAAGATAAACTGATAGGGGGAGGGGTGGGAGGAGAATCTTCGGACGTTGTTGCACGTAATAAGTTTAGTTGCATTGCAACAGATACTTGACTCATTACCTTGGAATACCTGTTACAATTACACAATACCATGACTTAGATATTCTAGTTTGTTGATTGATGGCTTTCACTTTCAGTGTAAATTTGCGACAAGCAAAAAATATATTTCTTCCACGGCTCCTAATACGGTTTCAAATTAACATCAGATATTTTGTTCTCTACTGATTGAAAACTGCGGTAACAACCGCGTGCCCTTTATCGTGTTTACACGTTAGGCTATATGAATTCGTTGCCTTCTATGGTATAAATAACGTACATCTTTACCTTTTCCGAACTTTGAGGTTCGTGGATGTTTTCGCGTTAGGATCAGATTGGGGTTCTGGCTTTTGGTGTTCAAGTTTGATAGCGTTTGTGTGAGAGTATGGCAACCATTCTATGATCTGGGAAGAATGAAAAAGAACCAACTAAGTTTGTGCATTATTAGTTTGACTACTAAATAAGTCTTGTTTTACGTTCGTGGTAATTAACAAGTGGAACAGCGCAATGTTTAGTTCGTTTATTATATTTAGTTAGTATAACGTTCTTCATTGAAATATACTGCATGTAATTGCTTGAAATATTGAAAATATTGATCGATATCATTCTCAACACTCGAAATAAATTCAATATTTCCGTGCATCCATGTGTTATTATTCTCTATGTAATTTCTTCAAATATATGTGATAAATCATGCAGATATAAAAATAATATCAATCTGGTATTTTTATGCCGCATTTCTATCGTTCGGCAATGTGTCCGTACTGACTTTATATTACATATTCTAAATTAAGTTGCAATAATAGGACTGATGATAGTCAGTTTGAAATGCACACACGTAAGAAAGACTCGTCCGCAAAAAAGCCCCATGATGCATTGTCAATTTCACTATAGATCCACGCACTGACTTTATAGTCGCTAAAGTTTGTCCTCCAGAAACTTGCACCATTAAAAAGAATTGTTATTCAAGCGGTAGAGGTTCATTTGGCCGACAAAAATAGTTATAACAAATCAAAGCCTTTTCACTAGTTAATATTTTTGCATTTTATTCAAATTTACGTCATCTGCAATATTGTCCTCCAAATAGCAGCAGTGACGTCATGTGCAAAGGGTCTATTTCAGCCAGTTCTAGCAGTACTAGTCCTTTTACCTCGTCTATACATCTCCTTTACTGTAACTTTGAAATGACTGGTCAGACTGGAATACCGGAATATATATTTCCTATGCTTTAAACGCGGGCTACCGATTAGGATCTGTATGAAATCATGCATAGTTCATTTCCATTACCGCCCACCTTCAAGAAAGCATGGATTTTTTTGACAGAATGTAATTGACATATCAAAGATCTGGTGTATATAAGAAGATCATCTAGTGTCACTACATTCATTGCAGTTTCGTTGCCAGCTAACGCTGCTTCTCTTGCCACTGAGAGACGACGGGCTCTGTCTAACGCGTCCTGATATTCTGCCATTATTGAACTACAAAAAAAAGAAAGTTGCGTTGCGCCTTAGCCCAAAGGGAATAAGAAATATACTAGGAAATAAGAAATATACTGTGTATGCGGAGAACGTACTGCAGGGGGGCACCGTTAATACCGTAAAGAGGATTGCTTTGTTATCGACAGGACGTATAGGTTTAAGGTTTTAACTTGCCACAGGCCTGAGGCCTCCTATGCTTCTTCAAAAAGGCGTAAATGCATACTATGATACACCATTACAATTTCAAGGGTCACATTGTGCATCTACTTATTTTAATAAGCTTTCATAGCAGATAAGTTATTTCACTGCATGGTCAACACCACTGTACAGGGGCTGGTTGTACGGAAGCTGAATATGTGCTTGAAAAGCGATAAAATTTAATCTATGGGACCAACTATGGTTAAAGAGGTCCTCTATTTAGGAATTTCGGAATACTAAGATCTAATCAAAGTTATAGAAAACAAAAGCCGATTTTAGGGTGATAGCTAGATTTCCAAACAAAACTTGCCCTTTCAAACGCATGAAACCCAAACTTAAATCTTATTTTCTATTCCACCTGATCTGGCTAGTTCATTGACTAATTATTCAGAAATGCCAAACTATATGATTGCATATATGATTGAATTGCTCGAAATTAATTGGAAAAATAAATTACTCAATACAAATTATTCAATGAGAGAAGTCAGTATGATAGCATATATGAATATATGAATTTTCATCAATTATTACCCAAGTCTTTCTTGGTAAGCAGGATATAGTGTTTCAATTGTTTTTGTATGCTCACAAAATCTCGCCCATCTCAACATATGCATGTGTTTACAATGCACCAGTTCTTTAATCCTGTCTACGTAAAACTAAAAATATGATTTAAAATGGAAAATTAGTTTAAATTCTCTATTAACTAAATAGTAATAGCAGCCTTTAGCAGGTATGCAATAATGCATCCATGGTGCATGAAAGTTGACCCTGTTAACAGTTCTTTACCCTTTGCAAAAGGAACTAGTAAGATGATAGTTCTATTATAAAGAAAAAATAGTTGTTTATACCTACCACATGCAGTTAACAGTGGCTCTACAGCCATGGGTCAAATTTTATCATCACAATCATATTTACTATATATGAGGCAATGACAATACTATACATTTTTCTCTAAGTTTCAAACCTGATGGAGTAAAAGGGGTAAACTTTTATTAGTGTATTCTTCTTTTCCACATATTGTAATTTCCTCCATCATTGTATCTGCTTGACACTCCAGATCTCTTGCCTCTCGCACCTGCAAGTACATTAATTGGCAATAATGCAATTTATAATGTTGGAAATACAAAATGTGCATGAATAAGGTCCTTTTTGTCAAATGTATTTTACAAATTTTCCTCAATATGAGAATCCATTTGATCTTTTGTCTATACATGCATCACAAGTGTGCATGCAAAATATATATTTCTTACAAGAAAATTTGTGTATAAGCCAGGGTAATAATATTTTAATATATCTCCAATGATATAAGCTTAAAAATTCTTAATGAATACCATCTAGTTAAACATAATTTCAAGATAAAATTGCACCCAGGCATCCTGCAGTGATCTGTTCCAACACTAGTAATATTACTTCAAAATGGTAAGAATAAAGAAATCAATAACTATTATCTGTAAAAAATTGTTCCTGTGGAATAAAATAATAAGCATACCCGTAAAGCCTTAGTGAGAGCAATCTTTCTCTCCCTTTGAAAATGTCCAGCATCTTTTGGAAGTTGTACAGAGCTATATCAATGAGAATGGGCAACTTGATTAACGTTTGCAGTTAACAACTGTAAGTTCAACAAAAATCCAGAATATTCTTTAATGTTTGTAGTGATATAAGTTATAAAAAAGAGTGATACGAACAGTTCAAAACAAAAACTATGTACCCAAGACTTGCATACCTAAAGGATTTCTGCTGTGACGATTTAGTAACTTTTAAAAAGTCATTTTCTTCGATCGCGTTTTGAAGCTCTTTTAACTCGTTAGAGAGGTCATCTTCGAGTCTTTTAACTCTATCCGCGCTTGAAAACTCATAAATTCCCTGCATGTTACAATTATGTTGCAAAAACGTTCTAATTCTAATAAGTCAAATTTTACCAGCCATATTGTAGCTTGTTGCTATGAGACGAAGCTTCTATCTCGGTCAGTAATCTCTGTATTATTCACCTGCGATACAAAGGACAGCGGGGTCATTCACAATACAAAAGTGCTTTCTCACTGAGAGAGCGGACTGAGTCACCCTGTAATTTCACCTTCCACAACTCCGTGGAATTTTTCGGTCGCAGTGCGTTTGCGGCCCAAAAATCTATTTTGGAACTAAAGCAACTTATATAGCCGGGTTGCGTTCAGACGCAGCGCCCGCAACGGCTCATTCCTCGAATGTGCCATCGTTGTGCGTCTACAGTTGAAGAAGTCAAGAAGTAGCTCCCTTAGTGCCCCTTTTTTCGTTTGTGAAACGACAAAACGAGACGAGAATTAGTGCCGTTCAAGAATATAAAAAAGATGAAAATGGTGAAGTGTAAGCACAGAATAAATCATTTAGAAAAGAATAAAGGACGTAACACAATTTTCTTAAATGCAGTTAAAATTGTTAAAAACGTTATCATTTTTAAAATAGTTATTTATATATTAATACTATATAACAATATTTCAGTAAAAAGCACAATATAGTGCAAAAAGATCCGACCTCCATACGTTTAGGATGTAGAGGGGTTCTCCAATTTATCTTTGAAGCGCTAGCTGTCAACAATGCGACATTTTTCATGGGGAACTTCAGTGGAGTCTGTACACACGTTCTTTATTTCACAGGATGCTCTCCCGTTTGGTGATTGATTATTTCTACGTTTTCTTCGACGTGACAATCCCATAAAATTTTCGTTCTCCAGCCCCAACTGTCTACATTCTGCTAATACTGTAATTAAAAACAACGTCAAATAGAAATCCAAATATCAAATACAGCACTATGACCTATAACAAAAAATTTTCTCTGTCTTTGTACCGTAGTTTGTTACAACCCAGATTAAACCGTAGAAGGATACCTAGGCTAGATTTTACTTGATGTGAATTTAAAACTTGCTCTTATTTCATTTCCTACAATATGATTTACTGCCTGTATATCAAACACAATATTGATTTACTATACTTTTATTTAAAATAAACATGAACTAGATTTCTTGTCTAGAAAAATACAAAACATGCGAAATTTGACGAGAAAACCCGCTGTAATGGAATCATGTGGCAACTATGTCGGTTTCGTGCAAAGGGTAGTAAGGTTTTCCAAAAAAACGTAATCAGCTCACCTTCAACGCTTGGGGTGTAACGCAAGAGAGATGCACCGGAAAACACAGATGATTTTTGTTCTTTGAATGAAGTTGGGTTCTCTTCATCGGCATCTCGAGATGTCGGGGTGTTTTTTATCGTCTTGTTCATTTTAACTTCACATCGAGTATACTGTTGCAAGCTGAAAAACAAAAAACATGTGCAGAATAAACTGGGCTAGTCCAAGCTTATTGCCGACCCTCCTACTTTCAATCCTCGCCCCTCAGGAATTACTTCACAAAAAGCAACCATATATATCAACGTGTATATGGACCGTATATAACCTGTTCCTATCTTCGATATTTTTACCCTAGAACGAACCTGCATAGGTCGACGGCTTATACTGAAGGCCTGTTCACACCTAATTCCGGCCTCTGGTGAGTCGTGCCTCCTAGTGAGAACTGACTGGGCAACGATAGTGCGAGAGCTACAGTTAGGGCGTAGCAAAATGACTTGCCGTAATATTTCGTAATAAGTATATTATCCTGGTAAAACTTCGTGACAAGAATATCTCCATGTATGTACGTACGTATATTTTTGAAGTTACCTTTCTTGGGTGTCCTTTAATGAGTGAATTCCAGCTGGTTCCACTGTAGGATATACATTCAACGGACGAAGATAACTCACTAAATCTATTATCTAAGAAAAAGAAGTTGTCAATTTGTAAGCTTCACCTGCCACTACGAATGCAGGGAATTTTGTCGGCTTCAAATTTGAATCTTGTTCGTAAGTGCGTATTCAAACAGTTGTTCAAATGAAGCCTATTCTCAATTGTACACGGTCTTCAGTACCCAAGAATTCAATTGTATCAGACTGAAATAATAAATGAAAAAAAATTGTTTACCTCTTCCATTGAAGCGTGCATGGAATGTACCACCCGAAAGAAATCTTTATCTACTTGACTGCAGGAAGAAACGAAACGTAAAAAAAGGCTGTAAGATCTAATTTCGAGAACAGCAATATGAAAAAGGTAATGCATTGTACCTTTAGGTGTAGTAAAATGTGCGATTTAGTGTACAGTAAGGCATTCTGTACAAATACAGTATAAAAAACAGATTAGTGTGGTGTATATAATGAACTAGTGATGATATGGTGTTTGTTGTAACATTATTGACAAGTATACTGAGCTACTTGCGTTGTATAATATCATATAGCAAAGTGTAGTGTGGTACTGTTCACGGTCTAGAGCAGTACGAATGCAATTGTTTAATATTTGTGTAGTGTGCTAAGGTATTAGCTAATACCTGACTTACAAGATGCCATCACCAGGTAAAGGATAGTACGCCGAGCAAAAAACATACTGGTAGCTTTAATCTTAATAACATTAACTTTGACAGGCGCAGGTAGTGAATATCCACATGGAAGCTTTGAATTAACATTCCTTATATGCTAGAAAGAAAAGGCAGGTTACCTCGCAGTTCGCACAATCATTTTCATCCTCTGATTGTATTGAGCGAATATAAATTAATTCTAGCAAACCTGCCAATTACAACAATGAATCCTTGTGTCTTCTGCTTTGATCGTGAAATGCTTTATCATGTCTGGTAGATTCTTATACAACGACAGCCTCTCTGCACTCACATGTATCTAGCAAAATACGAGCATTAGTACTCGCACACTCGTGAACAGTACTACTCTTCATTGAATGTCCTATTTTATTATATTATATATACCTTTGTGTTCAAAGCCATAGCAACTTCTTTCAATAAATATTCATAACCATACATTCCTTTACACAGCAAGCTCACGTAGTAGTTCGAACCTTTTGACAACCAACTATAATCAGGTTGAAATATAGGAATCTCAATGCAATATAATAAACTTGTAAGTGCATTCTCTCGAGCTTGGCTTGATATTTGTGTTCTGCATTTTTCTAAATCGTAAACATGCAGTACGTAAACAGGCCCTCAAAAGGCTCAATTATATAATCTTGCTACGTTACTTTTTTATCATCTTACCGTTTTATAAGTTTGATAACGGCGTTCTTGGTCGAGTTCTATATTTAAATATTGTTGACACCATTTGACACTAAAGCCATCACTCGTTGGTGTGGGTCTACGAGACCTAAATGACCGTTCACTGGCCTTTCTAGATAAAGGTTGTCTCAGGGAAGGACCGACTTTCGGGTGTATTTATAATCATGTAGACAACATGTCTTCTCTTGTTGAAATTGGTTAAATAATAAACTGCCTGTTTATTACATCTCCGAAAAAGAAAAGTCGCTTAAATAATAAAAGAAAGGATTGTCCCTGTGGAGAAGCTCCTATAAGGCCCCTTTGTACTTGTAAAGTTTATAGAGGTGGCTTGGAGAAGAATCATTTTGGAATGAATTATAATCTACTAGTGTCCCTATTTGAATATTCGTAATGTACCCCAGCGTCCCCACAACTAACAAAAAAAAGGAGAAAACAGGCAGTAGTCGAGCCCAATATAAACACACAGTTATAAACACACAGTTATAAACACATAATTATATATACTACACTCACTCTAGTTGGAATGTGTTTCATTTGAGACAAATAAACGTTGTGTCAACATAAATACTGCTTATATCCTTCACACTAGAGAAGTACAAGAGAAATTCTGGAAGTTCCTGTACACACTACACAGTGATTTTTGTTATTAGAAGAGCCAATGATACTCTTCAAATTATTGCTGTGATTTTCTCTTTTTGAAATGAAATGAAATGTACCTATATACAGTACCTATCCCCAGAATGGAAAAATGATATTCGGCTAGCATCGCCCTTACTCCAGCGGAAATCACCTGAAGTAAAAAAGGTAATCAGAAAACTGATAGGGTTTGTGTCATTTATCATAGGTTCAACTTGACCATTCAACAAGGAGAGTACTTAGCATGGGTTGCCTGTCAATTTGATTACAAGTGCTACAAAGGCCTTTTGAGTAGATTTTCAAACTCTGGACTACATATACAAACACCCACTACATGAAAGCTTCAGCAAACTTCATGTTGTGGTCAAATAATACACAGACTATAGATGCAACTTGGTCCACAAAAGGCATCACTCTAGTATTGCACTGCAAGGTATTGAGTTAATTTTGGAATGAGGGGATTGAGCCAAATGGTCTTATTCCCTGAGCCAGCAACATAGATTGCTGGGGCATGAATCCCAATAGCCATAGAAATCCTACATATAGAATATAGATCCCTGGTTAGTCAATGAAACCCATTTTACCTGTATATAAAACTGTGCCAGCAACTCCTTCAAACAGAAACCTAAATTAATAATGTCACAAAAAGGATATCAATTAAATTGTTCAGAATAAACAAATTAAAACAACATAAAACATGCATACATGACCGATCCAATACAGTGACCAGCTGATAACAATGTCACAGATATTGTTTCACTCTAAATAAATATGATAAAGAATTATAGCTGGCTTTTAAAGACATAGTCAACACTGATGACAAACATTGTGATGCAACTTGCCTTTCCATTTTCAGTATTGTTGTAAGTGATGTTTGTGAGATGTTCTATTGGCAATCCAAACTTTAGGAATGAAAGTATAAAAATGACAAGAAGACAAAAGTAGTATAATTTTTAGGACTACTTGCAAATATTACTATCTGTAAGTGCATCCTTTTATCAGACTAGGTATAAAACATCAATGATAATGCCTTTCAGAGTACATACCAAATACATTTTTAAATGTTTGTATCTTTCATCACAAAGGAGAATATTTCGAGTTGTTTCAGAGCAGTAGATGAATGCATTTGGGCTAAAAACATTACATTATTTAAGCTTAAATTGAATAGTTTTAAACAATTAAATTATAAAAATCTGGGCCTGTCTTATTAAAATATTCTACTCAAATACTGTATATGTCTTAATGTATTGACATGTCAATGCATGCAACTTTATATGTGCATGAAGGCCAACAGCAAAAACATATTAATACAATCATTACTATGCTACTAGAAAATCTAATATTTCAACAAAGGTCAATTGATGCATAAATGTATCAGGAAATGGGATAATCATTGCTAAGCTTTAGCTAGTCCCTATAAGAACTATCCCTGATAACAAATGAGCAATTATATTGGTAAAGTTTATAGCAATAATTTTATATCTCTTCATTTTACACCTACACAGTATAGGGTATCATTCATTTTACACCTACACAGTATAGGGTATCAGTTTAGTTTAATAGTTTAACTATGATAGTCATTGTCAATGATTGTACCTTGTCTGAAGTCGATGATGGAATGCTGCTGAGTCCATTCCACTCATATGATCTTAAAAATACAATCATCATCATGAAAAATACAATCATCATCAACCCATCTAGCATTTTGCCATTCTAGCCTATCCACTAAAGCATCAGTAGCACAACAGACTGACAGTATAGTAGTCTTTTTGACTACGATTGTTGACATATCGACAGTGTAAAGACACATACATACCCTGATGACAATGGGAAAGAAAATATACATCACAATCCAAACTGTTCCTGTCAAAACAATCGACAGAGAAATGGGGATATTCCTTCAATCTCCCCGCGAATGAACTCATATTCGCGTAAAAACGTATCTAACGAAGCATTCTTTAATAAAAACGAAAGTTCTTTAAAACGTATTGCTAAACTGCACTCCTTCCACTGTCGTTAACCACCATTACCAAGTACCAAGTACCAAGGAAGGAGCTTTATAAAAAAATATATACGCAACGCGTACATGTGGGAACAACCACAGTTGTGGAACATTTCGCAAATCGATACTTCTTACAATTTATTATATATAAAAATTATTTAAAGTTCTAGGCAGGGTTAATCTACAAGTTTCTCATCTTTATTTATCATAAATACCCATAAGAATTTCTACAGTTTCTTTGAACATTCTGTTCGATTGATCATCCAGTTCTCACATGTGGAACTATAAACATTAAAAGCTTATATACGTCAATATACAGACTAATTATAATTAGCCTCAGAATCATATAGATTATATAGATTAGCTTAAATAAACCAAAGTCACTAGCTGCATGCAAGTATATGAATCCTGCATTAACCAGAATGTATTAGCAAAACAACTTATACCAAAATGTCTTTAAATTACTATAATGTTTTATAGTCATGTTTTATGTTCACTACAACACTTTCACTCGTAACACGATATTTCGTATATAAGCAAAGGTGGCATGTGGTCTGTTAAGGCCATGTTACACAGTGCAATTTTTCTTACAAATTAGTGAAGAGTCTTCAAAATGTAAGTTTAAGGAACGACCATGGAGTGTGATAAACACAAAAGTTTTTCCAAATTTACATCTCTCAAAAGTAGTAGGTGTTGTACTTGTATTGCAAATTCATGAAAAAATGAACGTGTAACACCGCCTTTATGCCAATGTATAGCCTGATGGGAACGAATTTCCGGCAAAGCGTCAGCCTGGGGCCAGTTGTATAAGACTAGTTAACTTTTAAACTGTAGTTAAGGACAGAATTGGCCAATCAGAGTCGTGTATTTCGAGTTAAATAGGTTTTTGACTTAATTGACTATGCAAAATGTAGTTAAAGAGTTTTATACAACTAGCCCCTGCAGGTCACGACTGATTACATACGCAAATTTATTGTCACATTGAGAGACATTGCTTAGGAGTAGGAGTTGAAATAAAATCCCTTAGGCATTTGTTTGGAGCGTGACCCCCAGACGCCCCCCCCCCTCCCACGGCCCTAAGCGTATTGGTTATTTCCTCTGTTATATGGGTATAATCTAAATTTCTATAAACATTTCAACTCTAGGCAATGAAATAAACATAAGCGTTCAAAATGCTGCAGCCAACCTTGCTGGATTGATCGGATACATGTTGTAATCTGGTTCTTTGCCAACGTCCGGAATTCCAGCTCTCTTTTTCTCACGTTTACCAACTTTGAAAAAAATAGGCATATGTAATATGTTTTAATCAAATGATACATTTTGAAAAAAAGCTTATAATTTTGTTTTACGTAACTTTAGGGGAATCGAGATTTTCTGATGCTCACCAGGATACCTCTCGCCTTTCTTCCTTGTGACGAGTAAAGCAATGAGAAATAAGATAATCATGAGGAGTAGACAGACAATAACCACCATCGCCACGAACCATGAACGTTTGTAAATTGGACTATTTTGAGATTTTGCTGAAAAAAAAATCCAATGTTAATTTGAACCGAGCCTATAGTGATATCTATCTATTATTTAAAAGATTCCCAATTTCTTGGCAGGCCTTGGCTGCCTTATATCGTGTCTTAACGGAATAAAACCTTTTAGCTAATCCAGACACACACGAGTTCAAAATTGGTAAGATAATGAGACATCTTCTTATATATGAGCAATATAACAAATATAACAAACAGTGGCTTCGTGTTACTTACGAGTTTTACCCTCCTCCTGTCCTGGCTTCACAGTTTCAATATCGCTCGTTTCACTTGGACCTTTTTCGTTAACAGAGACCGTCGCTATTTCATATCCCTTATCATTATCTAGCCCGAAAATCTCCACATAGGGTTTGCTGTTTGGCCCGAACAATGGAACAGGTTCTGTTTCATTCCAATCACCTCCATCTAAAATTATGAGATTGGGCGTTGAAGCATGTACTGTATATGGTGAGGCATAGTAAGACCGTGCCTTCTTTATTGTATAATGTTTTTGAACTGTATATTTGCCACCAATGTCCTTCAAGGACCGAATATAAACTATATACAGATTTTGTCACTGTGGCACCAACGCATGCATGGTTTATAATAAATTATTTTATTTTGCGTGCTAAAATGAATACTTTGCCAGACTAAAATATGTTTTAGTCCGTGGGCTAGGTAATTTAGCCTTCAAATTAAACTTTCATTTGCTATATTTGCGATTGACAAACGATTGAATTCTATTATCTGACCTTTAATACGGTAGCGAACAATAAATTTTTCTGGGAATCCTCCTGATTCACCTCCTTGGAATGTCACGTTTACTCCATCTTCTCCGATTCCCTTTACTACAGGAATCTTAGGTTTGCCAGGAACTAAAATTAGATTCCAATATTGAGAAATTAGAATGGATTATACTCATTGCAACAGATTAAGTATTTAACAGATTAAGGATAAAAATATTTAATATTTTAAAATGTTGGCGCAAAGAAAGCATTTATCAGTTCTATCTATATCTTCACCATCATTTTAAGCTTTTGGTAAAAGTTCTATCAACATGCTCGTTTGACGACACCAGAGAATCATTATTGATCATCTACTATACTTTACCTAAAAAAACGAACTTACGTATAGGTAACTTGGTTTGAACATGGTATCTTTTTTTCAGCCTAAATCCAGCGGCAGTCTTTGCTCGGACAGATACAACATAACTTTTGGTTGGTTCCAATCCACCGAACGTGTGCTCCTCAGAAGTCGGACCAAGAGTTACGACCTTGGGTTCAGTGTCCTTATCAATTTCTACCTCATATCCAGTAATCTCGCCATTGGGCTGTGCAGTTTCCTTCCAACTAACTCTGATAAATCTCGCATATGCTTTAACTGTGACTTCCGGGATACCTGGCAAGTCTAGGTCTGTTTTGTAAGATGTACTGGCTTCTGGGCCTCTGCCTCCGCTGTTATAACCGTATATAGAGATTCGATACTTTGTGTACGCGAGAAGACCGTCTAGGCGAGTAATTTTCGCTTCACCGCCAATAACATTGCGCACACAAGGACTCTTTCGATCGCAATTATTTGCGGTAATAGATCGCAGCGAATCTGAGGCTTCCGAGTCTGTGTAGTATGTGATCTATAAATATAATAAACAGCATGGTGAGGCATACTGTATTGTTACGTCCAAACCTAATGGTTAACCCTAAAATGTCAAAAAACGATACACTTTTATAGCAGAGATCCTAAACACGAGGCGGAATATTAAGCTGATACTTGCTCAAAATAACAGGATATTCGATCCAACGGTAGTAAATTACTTTAAAAGACGTCCCAGACCACAGTTATACCGGTGGCTCCGGACGTATTAAAAATAATTAAAACTCAAAAATAAATATAAATATATAGCCGCCAAATAGAAGTCCGAACGCTATTAGAAAACGCTGTTTCCTTTACGCTTTTACGTACATGATAACCATCGACACTTCCTCTCTCTAATGAAATTGCTTCCCACTCCAATACAATATATGTGGCGCCAGACTCCGTCACAGTTAGTTTAGTAGGAGCAACTGTTGGAGCTATAATGAACATAAACATGATAAGAATACCTTGCACGTCCACAATTAACACAAAACACATTTCAATGAATGATTGAGAATGGAATATAAAATATAAACCATACGATTCATACAAGAGAACGGTTAAATGAAACTGCAAATATTTGGACTTCATTTTTCAAATAAATCTACAGTTTTCTCCTGCTGCTTATTCAGGATTTCCTTTTGAACTTTTTATATGCAAACATCATAAGATTTATTATAGGCAAAGCAATCGTAGACAGAATGAGAGACATGCGAAGGATAACGACGAAGGAACAAAGAACAATAGAAAAAAAAAGATTAAGGAAAGATAGACCTACCATTTTGTCCAGAACGAGATTGCCCGGTACAGTATGGTCCAGCGCCGACTTTGTTTACTCCTTGAATCTGAAACTTCCACAGTTGATAATACCCAGCATTAGGAACTTCAAATTCTAATTGGAAGGGATTGAAAGTTTTGTTCCGACGTTTTTCAGGTGATGCGTCTGGCCAATAATGCAGCAGGTAGTGAAAAGATTCACCGTTTCGATCAATTAATTTAATTTCCTGTAGAAAAATAAGAGCCGAAGTTAATTATAAAAACATGCACCGAGAGATATGGAAGTGTATACACAGTACGGCTTGCCATCTTATACTGTACCTTCCATTTCAAGGTCAATTCGTTCGCTTTTCCTGATATAGCTTCAACCGCAGGACAAATGAATGGTGCTAAATGTAAGAAAAGTGAAATCACATCACAAAAATAACAATCGCTGAGTTATATACACACTAAGAGCTCAGCCCCGTAATCTAATTTTTGAAACTATAGCGAGTTTCGCATGCAATCAGAATGCAGCATTTGCAAAATTACTCCACAGCGAGTTGCGCAGCTGATCAAAATGCAACATTTGCAGTATTCGACAACGTTTTACTAATGAAAAATATTTTCGACGCTTCTATAACCCAACAACGAATTAAGATATTACCTTTCTGTGGAGTTTTGCAGTTCTTAAATTCCGTAGGTTCACTTGGATCACTTTGGCCAATTGCATTAAACGCTAGCACACGAAATCGGTAAGAGGTCCAGGGCGAGAGACCTTTGATCGTTTTTTCTTTTAACTTTGGATCGATATGGTCGCTTTCATTTTTATGCCACTCCGTATCATAAGTGGTGGCCGTCTCTATGATGAAGTGTTTGATTGGATCATAGTTGTTGCCCGGTATATTCCATGTTACCTTCGCGGAGAATTTGCTGCAGTCTCCTTCGATTTGCACTTTATTCGGTGCCTCAGGCGGACCTATTAGAATACATATAAGAGCTGACTAAAATTTAATTCATAGGCGCAGGGGCCCAAACGTCGAACGGAGTGCCGCTTTCATATTAACGGAGACAATAAACTTGTCGGACATCTTTACTGACCTCGTATAACAACTTTCGCAGAGCTTCTTTTTTCAGCATAAGATGGCTTGTCGATGTATGCAATACATGTATACGTTCCACTCTGACGAACCTGCAAACAACAATTAAGATTGTCCTAGGTTGAATAATGCAATATTTCACTTTAATACTGGACAATTCTGATTTTCTAGTATTGTATCTAACTCAATTATCTACAAGGTTAGGGTTAGGGTTAGGGTCTACCATATTTGGGCCATTGAATTTTATAAAATATTTCACAAATATTCTGTTTTTATACCTGCGCATTGAGGAAAACTAAGGAATGAGCGTTATCAGACCAAACAATGGTATCATTGAGTTCAATATCTTTATCATTGTACTTCCACTTGTATTTGATTGTGGCCCTAAAGGAACTGTCTTTGTCACCTGCATGGAAAAAAAGTTTGGAAAAAAAAGTGTAAAAATGCGAGCTAAAGCAAAAGAATCAATTTGAAAAATCATATACTGTTCGCCCGAAGAAATCATATACTGCTTGCCCGAAGATATCTAATTCTTAATGCTACATACAGTGACTAATCCTTATCCAAAACATGTTCCCGCGAAAACACCAAAACACTCATCCAATCAAGTCGAATTGTCAACACATGGAAACCGATTAGGCAAGATATGAAGGATCAGGGCCCGGCCACAAACAAAAAAGTAATGGAAATAATTATTTATATAGAAGTACTAGTGTACCTTCAGCTTCGCATTTCAATTTAAACGATTCCCCCTTTTTTGCGATGACATCGTTCGGTTCCGAGATGAAAGTGACTTCTCCAACAACTTGAACAATGATCTTCTTTATATCTTCACCATAAAGATTCTTAGCTTTACATGTATAATTGCCTATATCCTGTTTGCTCACCGGGTCTATAAATAAAATATCCAGTAGTTAAGGTAATGAAAACCGTTTTGCAAAGCAATGCTGGGACTGGTTGTACGAAGACTAGATAGCCACCGGATGCTCGTTTTTCAGCCGTCAAAAATTGGTTGTTGTTTGGTACATATTAAATTGGAGCTACTTCTTAAAGATTGTCTTCAAGCACTTTTGCAAAAATTACTTTCCGGTGGATAGAGTTATCCAATCTTCAGTTCAACTGGCCCTTAATTTCGAGTCACCATGCACTCGAGGAATCGTATGCCCAGTTATGCATATACATGAGGAATGTGTACTTACGAACGTACCCATTATAACCAACGCAAACCCTTATATCTACAATAATGATATACCTATGACAAGATGTTCATTGTTAACCATTGTATACCGCGACAAAGAGAAATCTATCTTGACTCCATCTTTCTCCCACGTGTTTTTAGCAGCAGGAGCAGCTTTAGCATGACATTTAATCGTCCCTTTCGCCCCCAGGAATAGTGTTGTCTGGCCAGTGTTCATATTAAAGACAGGTTTCTCAGCTACATTAACAAATAAAATTTCACAGTTTTAAATAGAGATCCCTTTTTACTGAAAAAATCTGATCAGGGAATAATGTTTTGAAACTACCTTAGAAGGAATCCGTATCAGGGACGACCAGGAACCTACCTTGAACATCTAAATATGCAGTTTGATAGATATTGTCCATGGTATTCTCAGCTACACACTGATACATGGCAGTATCAGCTTGTGTCAAATTTGGAAAAGTAATTGTCCCTTTATCAATTACATGCGTCTTGCTGAATAATAAAAAAAAGGTTCTGTCAGTGACGGTTGAATAATGATAACGTTCATTACGTTTTCATCACCTCCAAATGACAAATTATGTCCCCAAGTCTGTAACTCCATGCATGTATCTTTATTGGCTACAGAGTCATAATTACAAATTCAAATACCCTAAAACAATCGACTAAAGAACTACATTGACAGGAACTTATTGTCGCCGAATTTTTATATGAATCAAAATGCTTCCATGTTGTTTCACACTGGTAATTTTCGTGAAAGCTGCGTATACATTGTAAACTATATTGTACCTGCTTTGGATTTGATCACCATTTTCATACCATTTGTATTTCGGCGGCGGGAACCCCGTGGCATTGCATGTCCATGAATGACTGGTATAGATTGACGGCTCCACAGATTCGATGTCCTTACCAACCCATTTTGGTTCAACTGTTAGAAAAAATGAGTCAATGAAGCTTTTTCCCGCAAAGTACAGTATTTTTTTTCTGTATCAATATACCCACCGATCATAAACATAGTCTTCCCATGTACGTACGTAGCGATTATATACAAATGTACCATACCTTCAAACGTTAAAGAACCCTCGACAGTATCATTTTTGTTCCCAATCGAAGCCGTGCAGAAATATCGACCTGAATGCTCTCTTTTTGCAGAATTCAGGACAAGGAGTCTGGCATCACCGTCCTCAACTTTCATGCCACCTTTGCCATTCACAATTGCATGTTCTTTGCCCTCAACATCAATTCTCTTCCATGAATACGAAGGAGTTGGTCTAAAAACACAACATTTATTAGGTACTGTATCTTACTGCACAGTATTTGACCTTACTTGATAACAGCGATATTGCCGTTTGAATAAATGAAACAGAGCAGAATTTCACTCCATGCACCCACATACCTTCCAGCGGCGGCACATTTCATTGATATGGTGTCTCCCTCCTGAAATCGTTTGTTCTGCGGCAGCCTCGTGACAATCTTTGGCCCAAATGCTGTCATGTTTGCTGCCGAAAGAAGTTACAACAGATTTAATTTTTTTAGTTTAGTTGAATCTACAACTGTTAAATAAACACTATAATATAAAGAGAAAGAACGTTATACATAGCAATTCAATAACCACACTTACTCTTAACTATTTTGAATGTTGTTATTACATGCTCAGCCCAACCGAATTGATTCTTTTCACCAACTCTTGCCTCCATGCCGCATACCCACCCATATTTATTAAATTGATCTGCATTTTCTTTAGTAAGATGCGAATAGAACAATGTTCCGTCATCCAAAACTATATAGTTTGGTTTGATCTCTAGAAACTTTGTTCCAGTTATCGCAGTCGATTTTCCCCATTTGTAGTTTACATTTGAACCAGGTTCATGCTTTGGACATTTGATAAAATTTGCCTGACCAACAACGACATCTTCTGTCCGGTTTGAGGGGACGGTTAGGTCAAATTCCCCAGCATCTTTGAGGTACAAAATAATATGAAGGTATGATTAATGGCACGTCGAGTGAATGTGAACGAAAGGAGAAATGATCAACTATGGGTGGTGAATTACAACTGAATCACCCGGAAGAATATCTTATATTATTTGAATCTTTACAGTGACATGAGTTAATATATAGTAAACAATTGACCTACACATAAGTGGGATTGCAGAAAAAAAGGACATATTAAAACGATATTATTATCAATTATTCAACATGTGACGTATAGTATGCAGTTCTATATACAAGGTCGAAAATATCATGAAAAAAGATGACCATTTTAGCCGCATAGCATTTAAGTGCTAAGATTTTCTGCAGGTTGTACTTACAAGTAAATTCAACTTTGACTTCTCTTCCTTTGATTGTTCCAGCATCTGTTACCATCACAAACTGGTATTTTCCAGCATATTTCTTGTCTTTAGTTTCTGGCATCAGTATTTGTTGGTCATACTGAAGAAATTTTGGCTCAGTTTTCCCTGTGATCTTTTTGTCATCTTTTAGCCAATAGTAACTCGTGCACGGAACATCGTTTGTTTTCACTACCAATCTTTGAAAATTATCCGGGAAGGTGTACACGTCGTCGGCGTCTTCGAGTATCTTAGGAATTTTTTCCTGCCCTAAAAAGTTGTTTTTTCTACTAAGTTGACTAAACGCAGTTTAAAGCAAGATTTGTAATATATAGATTGTTATAGATTTATAAATAAATTTACACTCTAAAAACTGAGAGCTTCGTGCCTTCTCCAACAGGCAACAGATTAATTGTTTCCGTATGAAATTTAAATGCATTTTATGATTCTCCTATTTCCATTCATTATTTTAAACCACTAGATTCAATTGTTAGAGGGTATTTTGTTAGATATCCTCTGACCAAATGTAGACGAATGAAGGATGTTCTCACAGTGAAATAGTTGATCCACGAACCACGGGGTTTCTGAGCTCAACATATATACGAATATGTAAGATTTGAGATGTACTTACCAGAAACTAAGGCCAGTGCAAACAGAAGCAACCAAATCATCGTCCAGTTTTGTAAGAACAGATCACTCAGAGTTCAGGGGTTCTGAAGATAGATTTAAGAGTACAGTCAAACTTGTTGAAGTGACACCGTATCAGTAGTGGCCACCCTTTACCCTGAAGATGCGGAAGAAAATTTCCTTAGTACCTCAAAAACAGCTTTTAGATTCGATTTTTCAATGTTTTCTAACGGAATTCAAACGCATGTCAGCTACCATACCATGGAAGAAAACTCGTTATTATTGCCAAAAGAGTTCAAGAATTTGATAAGCTTCAATGGCAATGCACTAATTTCCGTAATCAAAATATCATCATTGATAGTCACATTAACTCATTACCAGATCCTCGGGACAAGTCGGGGAGTGGCGGCAAAAAACACCCACACAGCTGAAAATCATCGTTGTCAGCAGAAGCCATGCAACGAAACGACCAACCCAAAATAACCGTGAAGGGCACACTGCACAGCTTATTATTATATTATTATGACAGAACAAAAATATTACTACATATTCTTATTAGAAACTGCAGGTCCAGACATACGATTGACAGATTGAGAGCTTCCTGATCTCTTTTGACTGTATTGCTCCTACATATAAACATGAATATATGAATATACACCCCCTCAAAAAAAATTAAGCCGTCTAGCTACGGTCCTGAGAACGAAAGGCAAATTTTCGTCAAAATAAAATGTGAATTAAAGCATAGTAGTACTGAACGGCTAACATCTACATCTTTTCCGAAATACTTTCAATAATAGACAAATTTCAACAAAATTGAAATTTAGCAATATTGTACAAACCAGTTGTCACATAGGTATTGTTATGCTAGTTGACAAGGAAGAACTCACTGAAGAACCAATATAGATTCAAGTTCAGTATTGTCCATTGTGATGTTTATTTTCATATATGCAGCAAAAGAATAGAAAAAAGGAAATAGCTTGTTGCTCAAGCCAATATCTTATCAGGAATTAATAATGGTCACAAGTATAGTTTTGCATATCCTCATTTCATTTGAACTGATTATACAAGACCCCAAATGTGTTCCATTGTGCACAGATCATCGCTTGTTGATTATTGTATACAGATAGTTTCTTCAGTATTGGGCAGCTTCTCCAGATAGGTTGTACTGATGATATTTTATGCTTAGGGCATTAGGACATGCTATAAACGACAGTGTCATATACGATAAAAATCAGTTTCAAAATCAGTTTCTTTTGCACTAAACAGATAATGATTTGAAGGTCTATTGATCTACAAATACGTATTAGCCAAACCCAATGTGATATTAAAAGGTCAATAAATTTAGCCTAATGCTAAAAGAACATTTATCATTGTCCTAACAAACATACCTTATATGTCCAAATATCAAGAAGAGTTTAACTTTCAACTATTAACTTTTTGTAGTTTTGGTGAGATTATAACTTAAGTCAAACTTTTGAGCAAGGTTATAACTGAACTAAAGGTAAAATCAGATTCTTCAATCTTCTAAATAATGCATAACTGTAAAGTAGACCTTGAACAAATTTCAATCCGAAATCACAAACCAAACTGTTCCTGTCAAAACAATCGACAGAGAAATGGGAATATTCCTTCAATTTCCCCGCGAATGAACTCATATTCGCGTAAAAACGTATCTAACGAACCATTCTTTAATAAAAATGAAAGTTCTTTAAAAAACGTGCGGCTAAACTGCACTCCTTCCACAGTCGTACCACCACTACCAAGCTTTTTAAAAAATATATACGCAACGCGTACATGTGGGTATGATGGTATCCTGACTATATCCTCTAAAAAGCACTACCAGGCTGCCATAAAGCTAACCCTTGGCAAAAAATACACGCACAGTTGTGGAACATTTCGCAAATCAATACTTCTTACAATATATAAGAAAATTATTTGAAGTTCTGGGCAGGGTTAATCTACAGGTTTCTCATCTTTATTTATCATAAATACCCATAAGAATTTCTACAGTTTCTTTGAACATTCTGTTCGATTGATCATCCAGTTTTCATGGAACTATAAACATTACAAGCTTATATACGTCAATATACAGACTAATTATAATTAGCCTTAGAATCATATAGATTAGCTTAAATAAACCAAGGTCACTAGCTGCATGGAAGTATATGTATCCTGCATTAACCAGAATATTTTGGCAAAACAACTTTTACCAAAATGTCTTTAAATTACTATAATGTATAATGGAATGTTTTATGTTCACTACAACACTTTAACTCGTAACACGATATTTCGTATATTAGCGAAGGTGGCATGTGGTCTGTTAAGGCCATGTTACACGGTGCAATTTTTCTTACAAATTAGTGAAGAGTCTTCAAAATGTAAGTTTAAGGAACGACCATGGAGTGTGATAAACACAAAAGTTTTGCCAAATTTACATCTCTCAAAAGTAGTAGATGTTGTATTGCAAGTCCATGAAAAAGGAACGTGTAACATCGCCTTTATACCAACGTATAGCTTGATGGGAACGAATTTCCGGCAAAGCTTCAGCCTGGGGCCAGTTGTATAAGACTAGTTAACTTTTAACTGTAGTTAAGGACAGAATTGGCCAATCAGAGTCGTGTATTTCAGAGTTAACTAGGATTTAACTATGCAAAATGTAGTTAAAAAGTTTTATACAACCAGCCCCTGCAGGTCACGAATATTACATTACGCAAAATTTACTGTCACATTGAGAGACATTGCTTAGGAGTAGGAGTTGAAATAAAAAAAATCATCTAAAAAATTTCAGCTACTTTGTTTTTATAAAAATGTATATAGTAAAGAATTATGTCCAGTATCCACTATTTAGTGTGAAAAAATC